GAAGGAGGCACAAGATAAGGTACGTTCTCTCTGGGGTCCCAGATGAAGAGGTAACCTCGATCGATGACGGTCTTGCCAATTGATTGAGCGGGCGGACATTCGTTCAAAACGTAAACCTGCTCGTCAGGTGAGATCACACGGGAGTCCTCAAATGCAAGAGATTTATCTCCTTGTTGCGCTCCCCCGCCTGTGGCAAAGCCTACCGGTGTGTTGGTCTTGCGTACGCAATGCATCATGGTGCTGTTCAAAGCCTGCTTACCGATGAGGTGGCGACCTGCAGCGGTGTCCCAAAGCCAGCTAATGCTATTGTTCCTGGCGGGGACACTTGAGATTTCGCCTTACCAAGGGCCCGTGGGGGCGGCCCAGTGTACTTGTCGGTCGGTGAGTGGAGGAAGGCGCAGGACTTGGCCCTACACGCATCATAGGCATAGAACATACACGGAACTTTTGCCTTTTCAGCGGCTGACATCTTTGCTGTCTTGGACACAGCCTTCGACCTCGGCGTGAGATTAGAAGGGGTAGTGTCTCCCTTGCTTGCATTTTGGGACTTCGGAGGAGGAGGAGGCTTAGGGTTCAAAGGACCTTTTCCTTTAGGCGCAGGAGCAGCTGGGGTGCCGCCTCTATCCTGCCCTTGATCCCCTTTCTTCTCGCCTTTCTTGTTCTTCTTCTTCTTCTCCTTCTTAGTCTCTGCTGGCAAAGCGCTGGTAGCTGCTTCCTTGCCCGTGCCACGAACAGCCGGCTTGAGCTAAACTCATCGCGGTTGCGTTTTTGCTGGGCAAGCTCGATGGCCAGGTCAGCCTTTGCCCAAAGCCAAACTCGTCAATGAGATGATTGAGAAGCGTTCTTTCTTGGGGAGCTCATCAAGAGGTATTGCACGGAGAATATAGTTGTACTTCTCACGGAACGCCTCTATGTCCGCTGCTGATTGGCCGGCAAGTTTCAAACCTAGAAGATTGCGTTCTCCAAGGATGCCGATCCGATCACGCTCCAGTTGAAAGTGCTTGAAGATCGAACGCAACATCACGCGCCCATTGGGCATTGTACCTGCGGTGTTCCGTTCGTGCTCCACCATGTTTTGGAACAACAACCCAAACTTGCCTTTGCGACAGGTCTTCAACAGCTTGGCGGCTATCTCGCGGGTTGTGCGTGGGAAACGTGCATCTGCCCTGAGTTGTTCCTCGGATGAGGTCAGGCAATCCTGAGCCCAGAGATAGAGCTCGTCACCGGTCGTCTTTTGTAGACGTCCAATGGCCATGAGGACTTGATTCACATATCCACGCGCCTGGCCGGCGTTCTCTGGCGGAAGCGGAAGCACTAAGTCCTTAAGGTCCTTTATGCGAACCGCGGTTTCCTCATGTGAGGCCGGATCTGATGCGCTTGTAGCAGCATCCCCACCACTTGCATCTGCTGCTTGAGTACCTTGTCCCTGCCCCCCATTCATGGAAAGAGAGGGGCAGGCGGTATTATCATGCGGGCCACCACAGACTCGCCATGAGGGAGTGTTACCCTCGTCACCGGATTCTGAGGATGTGTCGGAGCTTGCCTCCGAAGGTGCGAGTGGGGAGGATGGGAATTGAGCCACTTGACTTGTGCTTGCACTTGTTAGCCTAAGCGTGGGGACAGCAGTTGTGTGCTGGACAGCGGAAGGCGGGGGTGCCTGAGCCGATGCGATCGGGGGCGAAGCCCCTGATACCCCTACCTGGGCCTCAACTAACTTTGAAAGTTGATGGACCAGCTCAGTTAAAGAGGACATTTGTGCCTGTACGTCTACAGGTCCCCTTACATCCTGAGTCCGAGCGACGTCCGGTGGTCCTTGTGGTTGTGCACGTGCATCACCATCCTGGATTTGCACACGCTTGGCATCTGACTTGATGTCGGGCTGTGGGGGAGCGAAGGATTTTGGGAAACCAACAGGGGCACGTGGCGCTACCTTAGGGTTGCTACTTGAACTTCCCGATGCGCCTAGAGCTGCATCCTTCGGGGGACACTGCTCACGTGTGGCATCACTCGGCCCTTGAACTTGGGGAGCCTGTGATCCAACCTGAAGGTCACGTCCAAGGTCATTTAGCCCCGATGACCCGGGATCCGTAGGATTTTGATTTTCATGACTTTCATCCGGAGGTACCGGAACATTTTGTGCCATGGATGCGACAGCCCTTTCTAGGTCAGCAAGGCGTTGCGACAACAAAAGGTTCTCACTCCCTAATGTATCTATCACTTTGCTTTGCTGGAGGATCTTCTGTTCCCGTGAGGAAATTTCTTGAATAGCCTCCCGTCTCAACCTTGACACTTCGGCTTCAGCGGCCGACCTTGTTTGTTGTGCTTCATGCCTAGCACGCTCAACATGGCTTACGGCTTCCTGTCTTAACAGATGGACATGGCCTTTGGCTTCCTGCCTCACCTGTTGAACATGGCCTTGAGCTTCCTGTTGAGAATGCTGCGCAGCTTGTTGAGCACGGGCTCGTTCGACTGCTTGCTGGGCTTGGTATGTCAGTTCAGTTGCCTGTTGTCTAAAGGTCTGCTCCCTTTGTTGCGCAACAGCGGCAACCTCCCCTAGCCTTTGTCTGGCCTGGTCCGCGGCTCGATGCTCGTGAAGGGCAACATTGGCAGCCTGATCAGCAATGAGCGAAGCTTGATGCGCACGTTGCAATGCCGATCCGGCCACAAACGCGGCAGCACTCATGTTATTAGATGGGTCGGGTGCTGGCACTTGAGGGCTATACACGAGGGGAGTTGCTGTAGAGTCTGAATCAGGTTCCTCTACAATGGGAGTCCTACGGGGAGGAGTCGTGTTGCGATCACGACCACGATTATCTCTTGATGAGGATGCCCTGGAACCTACAGGAACTACGGACATTGCGGGTACCGAAATATCACCTAGTTCAGGGTCTTCCTCGTTAGATTCTCCCCCAGGGGTTGACCTTGACCTATCATCCGAAGGTGGGGAAATCCCTGATGCCATGTTGGATGCACCTTTCACACGAGGTCAGGCTCACGTCTGCTGACACACCGCGTTTTAAGCTGCGGCCTTTGGAAAACTTATGCTACAACCGGTGTTGGAAACCGGTGCACTTGCTGCGCTTGAGCTGCAGCCTCCGGCAGTGCCAGGTCAACGAAAAAGTCCTCGGCCGCCCCTTGCAGATTGCGGGCGGCCAACCTCCTCGAGATACTCGTTTTGCTCGAGTACCCTGGCAGGGCGGAGAAGGCGTCGGTGCTGAGCGAGGTATTCGTGGAGCTCGTCCAGCGCGTCGTAGAGCGCCCTGAGGATGGAGTTGTTGTCGTCCACGATGGCGCACGCCCCGAGCTGCGCTAAAGCTGCAGCCTTGCGAGATGTTCCGATTCGTTTCTAGGTCAAGACCACGTCTCCGAACGCGAGTGTGCCCAAGCCGTCAATGGCGTTGTTGCACACCTCGGAAAAGTGGGTGGCAAGTCGGAGGGTGCTTTCCCGGGTGTCCCGGGCCTGGCAATAACTGATGATGCGAAACTGGATCGGATAATGACTTCTATACAGTTTGGATACTGTACGCAAAAGCCAATCCTTGGGCGCACCGTCGGGCTCGACGCCAATGTCAAGCGTATTATGCCAGTCGAGGGCGATGACCAGCGGGTCTCGTGCCTCCTGCTGAGGCGCACTGAATGCCGTCCCGGGAGGGACGGGGCCCTTGGCAGCTGCAGTGGGCGGCAACTTGGGAGCCGGTGGGGACTTGTACCTCACCTGCGGCGCAGGTGAGGGTGGCGCCCGCTTGAATGCTTTGGGCGGTGTCTCAGGCCGCCTTACCCCACTGATCGATTTCGGAACCGACGCTGCGCGTTGAGCTGCAGCCCTTGGCACTGGTGCTGGGGGTGCTGGTGGTGCTCTCAGCGGTGGTGGGGGAATGGCCTTCGACGCAGCGCGATCCGCAGCTGCCTGGTCGAGTACGCTTTGTGGGGGCGCCTTGACCTGGCTTTCCCGCTTGGCAAAAACAATCCGAGCGGTCTTTGTTGCGGGTGCTGTGGATGAGTCGCGCCCGGCAGGTGCAGGCCGCTTGATGCTGACCTGCTCAGCCTCGTACACCCTGTCCGGGTTGAAGGCCGCACGACCTGAGTAAACGGCTTGAGCCGACCTTTCTGGAGGTGGCGACGCACTCAGGTCGTAGTGCTCGGCCCTCCCGTGACCTCTTGGAGGGTCGGAAGAGGAGTCTGCCCTTGGCGGATGGTGCCAATACGAGTCTGGGAGGTCGTACGGTGTCTGCGCTGCGCTTGGAGCTGCAGCCTTGATGGTGGACACAGTTGTGGTGGAGGATGGACTTGATGAGGCGCTTGGCTGTTGCTGTGGCTGAGCTGGTGTTGGAGCCTGCCCTGCCGCGCCTTGAGCTGCGGCCTGTTCCCGTTGGTGAATTGGGATTGGTTGGTGGCGGCCTCGGGCGATGACGGCGCGGTAGATGTCCCGCAGGTGCCGATAGCTCTTTTCAATGAAATCGGCCTGCCACGCCAGGAGGGGGCTCCGATGCAAGTCCGAAGCTTCCTCCCAGGGGACCCTTGCCACACCAACCTGAAACTCGCGCCGAGCCCAACGGGTGAGCTCGTTGAAGGCTTCGTAGTAAAGCCTTCGGCGATATACCCACCCGCCCCTGTGTCCTCTGGCCGAGAAGGCCGGAGCCGGGTCCATGCACGAAGTGCGCTGACTACCGGACTGAGGGGGCCTAATCCCAAAAAGCAGTTCCGGCTGATAACCACTCAACAGGGAAAGAAACAACGCGAACCAGAAACCGGGACCCTTATTAACCCCAGCCCGGCAGGCGAGCGCAAACCCTGGATTTGATCTTCTGGGCATCTTGAGCCAAATGGGCATTGCCATTCAGCAGTTCTTGCTATCAACGGGGCCTCCAACATCACATACATGCACACCATTCTGTGCCTCTTTGCGGGTCAAGGGGTCGTGATTATTCAACTGAGCAAAACCCAAATGCACACAGCAGCATTTCTCTCTTTGGCCTGAGACTTGACTTGGGCCGCCCGGCCGGCACCCGTGACCTGTCGCGAGACAAGGCATGCTCGAGCAACTACTGAGAATGCAAATGGCAAAGCCACACATTTCCTCAGACAAACCTGAGGCACTGGAAGGCAAAAAGACCTGTGCAAACCTGTGCTCCCTCGGACGTGCCTTCCGGTGCTGCTTGACTCAGGCCTGGAATCGCATCCGGACATGTCCCCCGAAGAGATTTCTTGGGCTTGAAAAATAAGGAAATCGCGGGTGTGTTCCAGCCAGATTGCTAAAGCTTTCGACTCAAGTCTTTGATCTTGGCTGGATGCACATGTCCGAACTCCAGCCCTGGCCCCAGCCAGGGTCGTGGCGGAGGTGGCACCTGGCGGGGATTGCAGTTAACTTCCTCCTGGTTGCCTGTGAGATCACAAAAGAACAGGGTCCTTTACCAGCAGGGGTTGCCAGTGCAGGTTCCAAACTTGTCTGCTACTGCTTGTCTGCTTCCTCAGCCCGGGTGCTGAAACTCAGGCCTTGGGCGGCTGGCAGCCAGTGAGCCTGAGGTCTTTCAGTCTGCGAAGCCGTATCCGACAACCAAACTGCCAGTGATGGCGTGGCTGACGTGCCCAGGTCTCTGTTTCCATGCTTCCCGGTGACGGCTGAGGCAGCAATAGCCCAACCCCCCTCTTGGCTCCAACCCCTTCTCTTCCCACCGTCACCGTCGTCAAAAAAGAACGTCATTGAACCCGTGGTGTATGGCAGATTCGACTAATCACCCAGCTCGGGGGCACATGTGGGTCACAAGCAAACATGGGGGAGGGGGAGATGGCAGTGGCAGCGTCCGGAGTCCAAAGGATTTCGGAACATGAGAACGTCTGCGTCAGGAGTGGGAAGGATTGACAGAATCCTTCATCTGGAGGGTTCACGCTGAACTCTTGCTTGAAGCACCAGGAAATGACACCTTCGAGTGCATCCAACTTTTGTGCCAAGCTGCGGTCTGGACGGCGCCTGGCGAAAGTCCCAAGCCAGGCCAACGCCCGAGGCCCCAAGCCGGCCCATCTCCGTCCTCAGGGCTGGCTGTCCGCTCCGGCGTGGGCGGCGTGGGCACCCGGGGAGGCGCCAAAGTAGGGGAGACGTGCAGCAGGCTGCCCTCTCTGACCCACCTGGCACACAGCAGCACAAAGAGTTGACTCGGATCGCAGCGTGGAAGGCGAACGATTTCATTGAAGTTGGCGTTGCAGAACAGCCAAACACATGCAGTGCGGCAATAGGCCATCACCAGTTCTTCCCCACTTCAGCGCAAGGCTGGCATGCCGCATGCCCCAAAGCACACCTGGACATAGGACCAAGCTCATCCGTCAGGCGGTCGAAGCAGCTTTGCGCCAAGGCCTTCCACGTGTGAGCGCGGATGCTCCAGCGCGTGTATGGGCGTTCCCTGATTTTGGAACTGCCTCCCCTCTTTTGAAGCGGTAAACCATAAGACCAGGAACGCAAATTCCCATGTCCGATCCTGGAAGGTGTCCACCAGCTCGGCCCTGGCAATGCCGCGCGGGCAAGGCCTATCCATCTTTGGCTCCCAAACTGGGCTTACCGTGAAAGGGATTTATATTTTTGCACGGAGAACCACTTGGGTCCAAATCCTGTGACACGCCGGCGAGTGACGGACTTTTTGGCCGAAGAAAAATTGCCGTGACGCTGGGAGCTCAGGGCGTGGCACGTCAAAGCGCTGACGCAGGCCGTAGCTGGGTGCACCTTCGCGTTTGGGTTGTGGCTTTGGCGCTTGCAGCATATCCTCTCAAATGACACAAATGCCATTGCAATTCTATCACACCAACTCATTCATCGCATCAGGCATCTGAGACTTTGACTCTGCAAGTAGTCCAGCCAGCCATCCGGCGAGTTGTGCTGCAGTTCCTGCGCGCAGCCAGCCGCCGCCAGTCCCCGTGACTCGTTCGCGCTCGTTCGAGGTCAGGCCGCAGCGCGCCTCCGCCACGCTGGTGGGCTCCTCATCTGCCACATCCTCCAGGCTGTGCGCTGCCAGGGAGCGCCGCAGCTCCTGCGGAGTCAAATCAATAGTCTGCAAAAAACCAAGACCATTCCATGTCTTCTCCGTTCCAACGGCATGTTGCTGCAAAGTTTCATTGCCAAGAGCTGTGCGTCCTGCAGCAGCATCTGCAGGCAGCCCAAGAGCTGGTCTGCTGCGTACCTGACCAGCTCTGAGCCTCCCTTTCCACACCGAAACGAGTCCTAGGAGCTGGGATAGCAAATGGATAGCAATGCCTTTCACTTGTGGCACTTCTATCCTCTGATCCGGGAGCACCTCTTCAGCAAGGCGCCCGGCAAGGAGGCGCAAAGGTATGAGACCTGGTGACGCCCAAAAAGCACACAGTGGCCTACATTTTCTGGGCCCCGGGCAAATGTGTCCCGCATCTCTGCTTTGATCTGCTCAAAAAGATCCTCCTAGCGTTGGTTGCAGTTCCTTGCTCAACCAGGTCAATTTCTCTTGCTTCTGATCCGCTGTAGGTCTAACAAGCGCATCTCGGGAGAACAAGTTACCAGCACGCCTTCTGCATCGTTACTGAGCCACAATCCTCGGGAGCGCGCGGTGTAGAACACTCGTTCAAACCTTCGAATTGGGAGACTGCAAACAACCGCGGCACATCACGGCAAGGGAATGCGGAATCTGAGAGAATGCGCATGGCGAACTATTTGTGAAGTCCTGTTGGCCGAGTCCTTGAGGTTTGTGGCAAGGATCCCCTTCCCTAGTAACTTAAGCTGCTCTAGGAAAGTAGCCACAGCAGGCGCACCACCTGGTGACCCGGCATGTCACCTGTGCGCGTTGGGCTGAGATCTGCGCTGGTTCTCCCCCGAGGATCGCCTCACGGACAGAGTCCCAAATCCGAAGTCAAGTGTTGCAAGTGTTGCCCGGTCAACTTAGACAGCTCTCATTCCACATCAGGGAACAACATGCGATCTGCGCGGTAAGGGCAATGCGTCTGTAAAGCAAGCATCCATGCCTTGGTAAAAACTGACATTGGGACTGCTTGCACAATTGGCATCGGCACACCCCAAAGCATTGGGGCTCCCGCCGTCGTTGCGTTCCTCTGGCTCTTCCGGCTCGCCATCCCACTCGTACCTAAACCGCGCAAGGCTTGAAATGCCCGGATGGGAGTGTGCTAGATACTCAAGTTAGATTGTTCTTTGGAGGACCCCAAAGAAAACGAAACAATGCATACAATGCGTCCTTGAATTCCAATTTGTGGACTCACAGCCGCAAGGGGAGTGAGTCCTGGTCAGCCGGGCACTCCTCTTCCTCGTTCGCACCATCACCAACACCTCGGCCGAGCAAACAGCATGGCAGGCGCCAGCTGATTGGGCCCGGGCAGCTAACGAGTCGTGCCCCTTGCAGCTGAGAAGTTTTGCCTCAGTGCACAAGCCTTCGGATTCTGGGCAAAAGAATGAGCCATCTCCTAAGTGCGGCCAGGGAACTCACGGGATACATGGCAGCACGCTTTTCCTCCGCTTCCCGTTCCTCCGCTTCCTTCTGCAAGCGCTCCTTCTCTGCCTTCTTCGCAGCCTTCCGCTTGGCCTGTGCACTCCCAAAACACTTCCGGAGCATGCTCCACAGTTTGGGCTTGGCAAACCTGCGCACGGAATCCTTTCCAGAGACCCTGAGCTCAAGCGGGTATGTCTTCCGCGCACCTTTCGCGCGGCTTTCTCCAGCTTGCCTGGCTCGTCAGTGATCGGCCCCACTGGTCAGTGGCTGCGAACATCTTGCACGTGCCAGGCTGGCTGATAGGGGAAATCTGCAACAAATCAATAAAATCTGGATTGTGCACATAGGCTGATTTCATGGGCTTGCTTGACGTGGAAAACAGATATTGACGCCAGTGCAAAATGCAACTTGTTTTGCAGAAGCCTGGCGAGCATGCGCTCGAGGGGCTAGGTGAATTAGTAGAATAGCTTCACTGGGCACAAGGTTCAGAACAGCTCACCAAGTCGGCGCGTCAACTTTCCTTCATACATCAGCCAGTTGATGTCATGGAGCGACACTCGCTGCGAGGCATTTGAGGCATGCCAGCAAGTCTCTGCTCCTCCACGGCCTGTTCCGCGCGCACCTGAAAGAAAGAAAAGGCACGACAGGGCACAACGCACTGAAACTGAACCGAAAAGCCAATGGATGTCACAGTTCCCTCCCGGCCACGCCTGTGCCTCTGCCGCCGCCTGCTGCGCATCGCGCCGCTGGACCTGTTGCGAATACACTCATGAGAAGCAACAATTCGCATTGTCGAAGATGCGCTACACAGTGCACCACAATCAACACAAAGCAAGCAACATATTCTTCAACATATGGGCTCTATGATGTTTGCACTTCATGAAGTATCTAAGTACCTGTCAGCAAGTGCTGAAAAGGTGCCGTTTACAAAACCAGACGGCCCGAACCTCCAAGTCCTTCTTCTGCTGCAGCTCTGCGTCCCGTGCGTCCAGAGCGTCCTCCTGGCTGAGTTCGATCTGATTGGATGGCCATCCAGAACAACCCAAATGTGCAACGTGTGGCGGTTGTGTCGCACTCTGCCTGACGGCATCATGGTTCTGCCTTATGCAACAAGCCCGAAATGAATTGGTTGTGGCCAAATCAAATGGGCATCCTCATTGGCCTCTTGAAACAAGTGACTGAGCATGAAGTAGGTTCAAGAAGCATCCCCGCCAGTACAACGAAGGCAACTTGGCCCTTTCTACAAAGCTGGAGGCCCATGGCACCTATCTAACTAGCCGTGGACTGGTCTAGCATTGAAGCTGGAAAGAACCACTAAATCTGCCAACCACATGGATCTTGCTTGGCCATCCGCACTCTTGAAAACGAGGCAGTGGGGCGATGCTCGCCAGAAGGTCTTGTGCCTTGGTCAGCTCATCATTCACCTGGCCAGGGCAGTCAGAGATGATGTGCTGGTTTTCACATTCCTACCCGTGTTGCCCTGCACGTCGGCACGTCGTTCTGTGCGACCGCCAAGCTTCTGCGTCTTTGATTTGACTACGACTAACCTCTCCGAACTGAAAACCCAACGAGTCAACAAGCCTCGTTTGTTACTCCAACTCCATCCCGCCTTGTCTGCCCGCTCCTTGGCGTGGAAGATCATGGCCGTCGAGGCAAACTGGCGCTCCTGAAAGGCGCAAGCTGAGGGACTTATACCAATGTCTAACGAGGGGCCAAACCTCCAAGTTGGTAAGCCGCAAGTATGTCAGCTGCATTTACTTGCAGCGTAAGCCCAGCTCCTGCTCGTCGTCAGAGCCGAGAGCCTTTGCATTTGGCCGGAACTCAAAACTGCGTCGTAACGGCGGCTCTGGCAGCATCCAGCTGTCAAACGGGTTCTCCATTTCAAGACGGCTGTGGCTGCGGCTGGCTGGCCCGGCAGCGGATGCGGTGCATCTGGCAGAGAGGTAGGGTCATGATCATCATGAGCAGCATGAGCAGCATGGACATACGTCGCATATGCGTCAGACTTCCAAAGTGCAAAGACTCCAGGTTGCGAAGACCTCTGAAGTATGGAGACTTTTCGATTCTGCATGCCTTTGTGTCCAGTTTATTGGCTACTGCCCTCTCATTGCCCGCCCAGGCAAGCAGCGTAAAGCTTCTGGAAACTACACAAGACCCCACTAAGCATAGGACAAAGGCAACAAATTTCAAGGTTCAAGGCTCGCCATTTGTCTCGGCCGGGGGAAGCGCTGCATTCCACACAGACTTTGCAAGTACTATGGAAGCCGGGTCCAACGAGCTGCTGAGAAAAGCTCAGCCACTTGGAACCCTAAGATGCAAAGCACAACCTGGTGACCAGCACACAGCGTCTCGGAGCAGGTTCACCAATCCTGGAAAGCGGCAGGCTGTCGAGCAACAGTCACACATAAGCCCGGACTGAGCAGAAACTTGCAAGCAAGTGTCCATCTCTGGCATCTCTGGAACCTCCGGCACGTCTAAATCTAAGACAGACGATGCGACATGGCCATCGGCAGGGCTCTCTTCAACCGTCCTCGGCTGCAAACATCGCAGCTCTCGCGCAGCCATGCCTTCAGCACCTTTCCGAGTTACGGGTCAAAGCCAACTCCACCGAGCTGCGTCTGACATTTTCCCTGCTTGCAGCGCCGGATGCGACGCACAGCCTCGGTCAACTTCCATGAAGGCATCGGGATAGCCCGCGCTTAATGCTGGCTGGGTCACATGACCATTTTTGATCACCTCAGTGCTGAAATACAAACTAGACCACGGCTGGTCCGAAAGCATCGCGGCCCCGTGACCATTCTGCGCAAGTCGCTCTGGGCAAGGTGCTTTGCGCAAACTGGTCTGTGCAAGTTGCTCTGCGAAAGTTGCTCTGTGCAAGTTGCTGTGTGCAAGTTGCTCCGTGCAAGTTGCTCTGTGCAAGTTGCTCCCTGCAAGTTGCTCTGTGCACGCTGCTCTGTGCAAGCTCTGCGCAAGTTGCTCTGCGCAAGTTGCTTTGCGCAAGCTGCTCTGTGCAAGAAGCTCTGTGCACCTGACTCTGTGCAAATGTCTCTGTGCAAGTTGCTCTGTGCAAGTTGTTCTGTGCAAGTTGCTCTGCGCAAGTTGCTGTGCGCAAGTTGCTCTGCGCAAGTTGCTTTGTGCAAGTTGCTCTGCGCAAATTGCTCTGTGCAAGCTGCTGTGTGCAAGTTGCTCTGTGCAAGTCGCTCTGCGCAAGTTGCTTTGTGCAAGTTGCTCTGCGCAAGAAGCTCTGTGCAACTGACTCTGTGCAAATGTCTCTGTGCAAGTTGCTCTGTGCAAGTTGTTCTGTGCAAGTTGCTCTGCGCAAGTTGCTCTGTGCAAGCTGCTCTGCGCAAGCTGCTCTGCGCAAGTTGCTCTGTGCAAGTTGCTCTGCGCAAGTTGCTTTGTGCAAGTTGCTCTGTGCAAGAAGCTCTGTGCAACTGACTCTGTGCAAATGTCTCTGTACAAGTTGCTCTATGCAAGTTGCTCTGCGCAAGTTGCTCCGCGCAGCTTGCGAAGCCCGCCCGCGGACCAGGGGGGAATCGAACCCGCGACCCGCCGGTCCCGGGAGCAGGCGCGCGAACCACGAGACAACTCCCGAGGACCAGTTCGAACAACAAAAGTCGCAAAAAACCTCGAGATTTTGCACCCCAACCACGCCGATCCCCACAGAGGGCCGCGCGAGCCAAAACAAAATTGCAAAAAACCTCGAGTTTTTGCACCTCGACCAAGCCGATCTCTGCAGGGGGTCGCGCGATCCAAAACAAAATCGCAAAACACCTCGAGTTTTTGCACCCCGACCACGCCGATCCGCAGAGGGTCGCGCGAGCCAAAACACAATCGAAAAAAACCTGAAGCTTTTGCACTTCGACCACGCCGATCCCTGCAGAGGGTCGCGCGGGCCAAAACAAAATCGCAAAAAACCTCGAGTTTTTGTTCCTCGACCACGCCAATCCCCGCAGAGGGTCGGTTTTCGTAGAGTGTCGTCGGCACTACCCCGCCGCCCCAAGAAGAGATTTTAACTCCTCGCAAGTCAATTGCACTTGACTCCTTGCACTTGCAACTTGCGCTTGACTCCTTCCTTGCACTTGCAACTTGCACTTGGCTCCTTCCTTGCACTTGCAACTTGTACTTAACTCCGTGCACTTGCAACTTGCACTTGACTCCATGCACTTGGCTCCTTGCAACTTGCAATGACTCTCACGACTCCTTGCAATGACTCCTTGCAATGACTCCTTGCAATGACTCCTTGCAATGACTTTCATGATGATGATTCCTTGCAATGACTCTTTGCAATGACTCTCATGAGAACAACTCAAGTGAACCCAGCGGAAGAACCGTTCGCCATGCTTTCGGGAAAAGCAACCAGCCAACCCATTGGTAAGGTGGATGCCAAGCGTATTTGCTTCGCAGGCTAACCATTTGCACGTCTGCATTACTTGAGGCGTAATGCTGACGGAGGTGCTGTTTCCTCGGACACTGACTCGGAGTGTGTCGCAGAGTGGTTGCTATGCAGCTTTGGCATACCTGAGCATCATCCCACTGCATGCAAGCAAGTCGACACCTGCATGAAGAAAGGCAGCACGAAGTGTAAGCAACTGCTTGAGAAACGGTACTCATCATACTGCTTTCTCATCTCTCCATGTGCAAAAGCTGAAGCAGAGGTGCGGAAGTGATGCCAGAAGTCTTGACCAACCTCAAGCTTAACATCACTCCAGTCATCAAATGCTGAAGTGTCAGCAATGTCACCAGCTTCAGCTACGCCAACATGAAAGTCGGAGCGACACTCTCTGGACTGCTTGAGGTGGTTGCCCGGCAGGTGGGGGATGCGAGCACATCTCAACGTGCATTTGGAATAAATGCCAGGTTTCAAAAGCCCCATGAGCCAACAGTCCCGATATTCACTTAGGCCTTCATGGATTTGGTGGCTCCCAAATTAGGAGTGGCACCAGCCCATCCGGGACATCGAAGTCCAGGGGCTCCATGCGCTCCTGTCCGGATGCGTCCGACAAATTGGGTGCTCCCGTTGCTTCTGTGATTCATATGAGCGGCGGCCTTTATTTGTTGCTTCCGCTGGAAACAGTTTGCTGGGATCCTCCCTATCTCGTTCATTCATTTTTAGTACTAGGCCGACTTCCTGATCTCGTTTTTCACGCTGTCCTCAATTTCTATACCAACATGTCATACAACTGTTTCCCTATCTCGTTTTTGGGCTCCTCCCTATCTCGTTCCCATAGGCACGTGTGTTTTGTCCAGAAAACTGTTTCCAGTCCCTTACTAGTCTGGATGTGCGCAAATAAAAGCGGGCGCTCATATGGATAACGATATACCTTGGGACATCAAACCATGCCCGGGATGCCGGCTCTGTCATTGGCCGCATGTAGTCCTCCCCTTTGTGCCGCTACACTAGGGTGAAAGTATATGTGCCTTTTCACGTAGGTACGTACAGGAGATGACTGAACCAAAATGACCGAGTTGCGCCATGGAAGGCATGGACGCCGGGCACTTGCCCTAAGCAAGCGAGCGAACGCGCTCCATCTCCCGCAGCTGCACCGCCATGCGTTGCAGCTGGGTGTCCAAGGAGCCCTAGCCGCAACTTCAATCCCAGCCGTTCGCAACGTGGAACAAGACTTCAAGACCGCCCCCCCATATCGGGCTCCAATCCCAAGACTCCCTGTTGGAGGGAAAGCAATCAGGCTCTCGGCTGCCATTCATGGCTGTCATTTAAGGAAGGCTACTGCGCTTCCCTCTGCGCCTGTCTCAAGTGCCAGGAATGAAGCCCTCCCCTGCCTCAGCACGTGCGATCTGTCCAGCCTCCTGTGGACGGCTGGTTTCCACGCGTTCCTCACAAGCCTTGGCTTGCGGGACTTCTCAGAGACGGGATCTGCACTCAGAGCCCAAGGGGCTCCATCCGTGCAGTTCTTCACTCTCTTCACTCGGACCTTGTGACCTCAGTGCCCGCTTGCAACTCTCAGCCGCGACTCATCTCTCGTCGCTCACGCTGGGGACGTCGCCATGGCCGTCCTCGGCTGGACATTGCCGGCAGCCAATCAACACGAGACAAACTAATATCTAGCAACCTCAAAAGGCTTGAAATGGCTTGAAGGCAAATTGATCTTCGGAGCTTGTGCCATGGATCGACTCATGTCGCCATTGGATAACTTCGCCGAGTGTCATTTGTCATGTGGGACTCCGAAAAGGTTGATTGCGAGAAGGCCTGTGCACTGCAACAGCTGTCAAGCAATGGCAACGAAGCACCAACTGCCAGCAGGAAACAGCTCACCGAGCTCTGCCCCAAAATGAAGCGCTTTCTGGAATCCTGGCCTGGGATGTTCTCATGCCTGAGCTTCGAATTCCACGTGTCTCTTATGCTCAGTTGATCTCAGCTCCTGACTGCGGGCCAAATGCCGCAAGAATCTGGCCAGTTGCTGGCCCTCCTGAAGCTGGCAACTCTCCCAACACATGGGGTGATGTCCAGCTTCCATGTTTGATCACTTCTGGTTCTTAACCGCCAACGAGACATGTTCCTTCTGTCAGCGCGTGCCTTGCCCAGCTCTTCCGCTTTTTGTTCCAGCGTCTTCCTCGCAGCTTCTTCGTCACCTTCAGAACGGAACCGCTCCGGAACCGCTCTGCATCTACCAAAGTCGCTGCATGCAGTCGAAGCTTTGCCGACTCGCACTTGCGATCAAAGGCACAAACCTCAAACCCAAAAACCAAGGCAACCTTCGTGCGGTTTCCCTCAAGCAACTTGACCCATCGCGGCCTTCGCCCAGGTCTTGTCTCAGTGCCTGTGCAGCGCATCCCCCAGACATGGCGCTCGTGGGACGTTGCAGCGCCTCCGCCAGCGAGCGCAGCGCTGGTGCCAGCTGCTCCTGAACGCGGCTGCCAAGCACCTGGCAAGGAGTTGGGGAGGCTTTGGGAGGCGAGGCCGGACGAGTGACACGAATCCGCTATAGTCAAGCGTGCAAACAAGATGGGGCCAAACCAGAAGGGGGATTGTACTTCAGGGCAAGAGTCTGTACATCGTTCAGTCTTTGTTTGGCTTTGGATCCCTCCAAGACGAGCCCCGGTAGGGGATGCAAGCGACCCTCAGAAAACCCTGGATGCTGATGAGAGGTTTGGGAACGTCCCACCCCATTGTGGGCTGCTGCGGGAAACAATGTTTTGGAGCAAGCCGTCTAACGCCCAACAAGATTTCATCAAAAGAAACATTTGCTTCGGGTCTGTTTGCAAGAATGAGCTGGCATACATGACAGCTAAAACACGTTTGCTCCACTTCAAGAGCCAACACCCGCAAACAAGCAAAACAGGGATGCTGGGGATGCAATCAGTCTCGTTCGGGAACACACTGAAGTTCGCGCATTTCCGAAAAGCACCGCAACACAAACTAAATAGGCAAGTGCAGTTTGACTTCTCAACAACTTGTTATCATGATGGGTCGGCTTGCTCATGCCGTGGCTGTGAGGAGTGAAAGGAAAACAGGCAAGCATTCACTCGCCTGCGCTTGCACCACGCTCTAGAGATGTTAGCTTGAAAGTATGTCGTGTGCGTTTCAAACAGCAGGCCCAACAGCACTGGCCTGCCTGCGAACAGCCCACAAGGAGGCACCAAAGCAGCCGCATGCCCTTGGCACCAAAGGGAGTCCGTATCTTCGGGCTTCACTCATCCAGAGCGCACAGAAACGGATCTTGATTGCAACCAAAAACATACTTAGTGACTTGGGTCCACTGAGCTCGGTGCGGCGCCCTGACCCCTTGCTCGCGCTTTGAGCACGAGTGGCTAACGTCAGAGATCACAGCTTTCGTCTTAACGCGCGCGGCGTAGCGGCAACCAAGAGCTCACAAGTCAAACTTGCGCCGACTCAAAAGACTCCGTGCCACGCACCTTCATCCGAGTCCCCGCTGCTGTCGCCTGCATTACCTGGCAAGGGCCTGAGGGCCTAAGGGCCTAAGGCTTCAATTTCAATGAATGACGATGCGACATTGTGCCACTTTGAGCTTTCACCCGTGCACAGCCACGAGCCCGAGCAAGTGGCTCACCATGCGTCCAGCCTGGGGTAAAATTCCAGGCGTTGGCCGTCCGCTCAAACTCCTGAACGGTCAAATTCGGGTTGGGGCAAGGCGGCCAGGCGTGCATGCTGGGGCAATGCATGCATCAAGGTGCAGATCTGCAGGTCGCTAGTGAACGCAAGCAAAGCCTTGCAGGTTTGTGCCTGCAGACTTTCCATCGGGTACGCGTTGCAAATGGTGCAGCTGACGACCAAGGAAAGTCCAAACAACTCGAAGAACAGCAATGCAAATTGGTGACCTGCAAATTCTTCATGGGGGCAGTGCTGCAAATGATGCAGCAAGGCCCCAAGCACGCGGTGATGCGCAAGCAACTCCAAGCATTGCCCTGCAGGTTGGGCAAGCACAAACGCCGAGCAGGGCATCGCCTGCATTAATGGGCCGGCCGCTGCCCCCTATGGACAATCTGCAGGTCACCAACCTGCATGGCTATGGAGGTGTTTGGAGTTTGCTTGGGCATCGCCTGCATTCAGGAACAATGTGCAGGTGACCTACCTGTACGGTTGTGCTCGAAGTTGTTTGCATCATTTGCAGCGCTGCCGCGGTCACCAACTGTGGAGGTGTTTGGAGTTTGCTTGGGCATCGCCTGCATCCATGAATCTGCAGGTCACCAACCTGCACGGCTGTGCTTGGAGTTGTTTGGGGTTTTCTTGAGCATCACCCGCATCATTTGCAGCGCTGCCCCCGCCCGTGATGATGCTCAAGAAAACCAAGAAAATGGCCAAGCACAGCCCTGCAGGTTGGTGACCTGCAGATACTTCACGGGGGCAGCGCTGCAAATGATGCAGATGATGCTCAAGAAAACCCCAAACAACTCCAAGCACAGCCGTGCAGGTTGGTGACCTGCAAATTCATGGATGCAAGCGATGCCCAGGCAAACTCCAAACACCTCCACAGTTGGTGACCGCGGCAGCGCTGCAAATGATGCAAACAACTTCGAGCACGGTCACCTGCAGATTGTTCCTGGACGCAGGCGATGCCCAAGCAAACTCCAAACACCTCCATAGCCATGCAGGTTGCGCCGCAAATGATACAGATGATGCGCAAGCAAATCTCAAAAAACTCCAAGCACAGGTTAGTGTCCTGCAGATTGTTCATGATGCAGGCAATGCCCAAGCAAACTCCAAACACCTCCCTAGCCCTGCAGGTTGGTGACCTGAAGATTGCTCATGGGGGCAGCGCAAACAGCTCCAAGCACAGCCGTGCGGGTAGGTGACCTGCAGATTGTTCATGGATGCATGCCATGCCCAAGCAAACCCCCACCAAATCCATAGTTGGTGACCTGCAGATTGTTCATGGGGGCAGTGCCGCAAATGATGCAGATGATGCTTCAGCAAAACCACAAACAACTCAAATCATAGCCGTGCAGCATAGCCGTGCAGGTTGGTGACCTGCAGGTTGCTCATGGGGGGCAGCGCCGTAAATGATGCAGGGGATGCTCAAGAAAACCCCAAACAACTCCAAGCATAACTGTGCAGGTTGTGTTCACGGGGGCAGCGCCGCCAAATGATGCAGGTGATGCTCAAGAAAACCCCAAACAATTCCAAGCATAGCCCTGCAGGTTGGAACCGAAAAAAAGATCCCGAGCTCTCGTTTTCTCGCTTTCTCGTCTTCTCGCTTTCTCGATAATACTTATTCGATCCGCCGCAGCTGCTCAAGATGACTTCCTCGATGGCCTTCCGATGCGTGCAGGCATGGCTTCTGGATGGAGAAACCCGCCGCGTGGGTGGGCGCCTGCATCATTTGCAGCGCTGCCCCCGTGAACTATCTGCAGGTCACCAACCTGCTGGCTGTGATTGGAGTTGTTTGGGGGTTTCTTGAGCATCACCTGCATCATTTGGCGGCGCTGCCCCCATGAACAATCTGCAGGACACCAACCTGCACAGTTATGCTTGGAGTTGTTTGGGGTTTTCTTGAGCATCCCCTGCATCATTTACGGCGCTGCCCCAATGAGCAACCTGCAGGTCACCAACCTGCACGGCTATGCTGCACGGCTATCATTTGAGTTGTTTGTGGTTTGCTTGAGCATCATCTGCATCATTTGCGGCACTGCCCCCATGAACAATCTGCAGATCACCAACTATGGATTTGGTGGGGGTTTGCTTGGGCATGGAATGCATCCATGAACCATCTGCGGGTCACCTACCTGCACGGCTGTGCTTGGAGCTGTTTGCGCTGCCCCCATGAGCAATCTTCAGGTCACCAACCTGCAGGGCTAGGGAGGTGTTTGGAGTTTGCTTGGGCATCGCCTGCATCCATGAATCTGCAGGTCACCAACCTGCACGGCTGTGCTTGGGGCTTTCTTGAGCATCACCTGCATCATTTGCAGCGCTGCCCCCGTGAACTATCTGCAGGTCACCAACCTGCAGGGCTGTGCTTGGCCATTTTCTTGGTTTTCTTTAGCATCACCTGTATCATTTGGCGGCGCTGCCCCCATGAACAATCTGCAGGACACCAACCTGCACAGTTATGCTTGGAGTTGTTTGGGGTTTTCTTGAGCATCCCCTGCATCATTTACGGCGCTGCCCCCATGAGCAACCTGCAGGTCACCAACCTGCACGGCTATGTTGCACGGCTATCATTTGAGTTGTTTGTGGTTTGCTTGAGCATCATCTGCATCATTTGCGGCACTGCCCCCATGAACAATCTGCAGGTCACCAACTATGGATTTGGCGGGGGGTTGCTTGGGCATGGCATGCATCCATGAACAATCTGCAGGTCACCTACCTGCACGGCTGTGCTTGGAGCTGTTTGCGCTGCCCCCATGAGCAATCTTCAGGTCACCAACCTGCAGGGCTAGGGAGGTGTTTGGAGTTTGCTTGGGCATTGCCTGCATCATGAACAATCTGGAGGTCACCAACCTGCACGGCTGTGCTTGGAGTTTTTTGGGATTTGCTTGAGCAACACCTGCATCATTTGCGGGCAGCGCTGCAAATGATGCAGGTGATGCTCAAGAAAACCCCAAACAACTCCAAGCACAGCCGTGCAGGTTGGTGACCTGCAGATAGTTCACGCGGGCAGCGCTGCAAATGATGCAGGTGATGCTCAAGAAACCCCCAAACAATTCCAAGCATAGCCCAGCAGGTTGGTGACCTGCAGATAGTTCACGGGCGGGGGCAGCGCTGCAAATGATGCAGGTGATGCTCAAGAAAACCAAGAAAATGGCCAAGCACAGCCCTGCAGGTTGGGGACCTGCAGATACTTCACGGGGGCAGCGCTGCAAATGATGCAGGTGATGCTCAAGAAAACCCCAAACAACTCCAAGCACAGCCGTGCAGGTTGGTGACCTGCAGAAGTTCACGAGGGCAGCGCTACCAACCTGCAGGGCTGTGCTTGGCCTTTTTTTGGGTTTGCTTGGGCATCGCCTGCATCCATGAATCTGCAGGTCACCAACCTGCACGGCTGTGCTTGGGGTTTTCTTGAGCATCACCTGCATCATTTGCAGCGCTGCCCCCGTGAACTATCTGCAGGTCACCAACCTGCAGGGCTGTGCTTGGCCATTTTCTTGGTTTTCTTGAGCATCACCTGCATCATTTGGCGGCGCTGCCCCCATGAACAATCTGCAGGACACAGTTATGCTTGGAGTTGTTTGGGGTTTTCTTGAGCATCCCCTGCATCATTTACGGCGCTGCCCCCATGAGCAACCTGCAGGTCACCAACCTGCACGGCTATGCTGCACGGCTATCATTTGAGTTGTTTGTGGTTTGCTTGAGCATCATCTGCATCATTTGCGGCACTGCCCCCATGAACAATCTGCAGGTCACCAACTATGGATTTGGCGGGGGGTTGCTTGGGCATGGCATGCATCCATGAACAATCTGCAGGTCACCTACCTGCACGGCTGTGCTTGGAGCTGTTTGCGCTGCCCCCATGAGCAATCTTCAGGTCACCAACCTGCAGGGCTAGGGAGGTGTTTGGAGTTTGCTTGGGCATTGCCTGCATCATGAACAATCTGGAGGTCACCAACATGCACGGCTGTGCTTGGAGTTTTTTGGGATTTGCTTGAGCAACACCTGCATCATTTGCGGGCAGCGCTGCAAATGACGCAGGTGATGCTCAAGAAAACCCCAAACAACTCCAGGCACAGCCGTGCAGGTTGGTGACCTGCAGATAGTTCACGCGGGGAGCGCTGCAAATGATGCAGGTGATGCTCAAGAAACCCCCAAACAATTCCAAGCATAGCCCTGCAGGTTGGTGACCTGCAGATAGTTCACGGGCGGGGGCAGCGCTGCAAATGATGCGGGTGATGCTCAAGAAAACCAAGAAAATGGCCAAGCACAGCCCTGCAGGTTGGGGACCTGCAGATACTTCACGGGGGCAGCGCTGCAAATGATGCAGGTGATGCTCAGATACTTCACGGGGCAGCGCTGCAAATCATGCAGGTGATGCTCAAGAAAACCCCAAACAACTCCAAGCACAGCCGTGCAGGTTTGTGACCTGCAGATAGTTCACGAGGGCAGCGCTACCAACCTGCAGGGCTGTGCTTGGCCTTTTTTTGGGTTTGCTTGAGCATCACATGCATCATTTGCAGCGCTGCCCACGTGAACTATCTGCAGGTCACCAACCTGCACGGCTATGCTTGGAGTTGTTTGGGGTTTTCTTGAGCATCACCTGCATCATTTGCGGCGCTGGCCCCATGAACAATCTGCAGGTCACCAACCTGCATGGCTATGGGTGTTTGGAGTTTGCTTGGGCATCCCCTTCATCCATGAACAATCTGCAGGTCACCTCTGTGTACGGTTGTGCTCGAAGTTGTTTGCATCATTTGCAGTGCTGCCCGCATGAACAATCTGCAGGTCACCAACTATGGAGGTGTTTGGAGTTTGCTTGGGCATCGCCTGCATCCATGAACAATCTGCAGGTCACCAACCTGCACGGCTGTGCTTGCAGTTGTTTGCGATTTGCTTGCGCATCATCTGCATCATTTGCAGCGCTGCCCCCATGAACAATCTGCAGGTCACCAACCTGCATGGCTGTGGGTGTTTGGAGTTTGCTTGGGCATCGCCTGCATCCATGAACAATCTGCAGGTCACCAACCTGCACGGCTGTGCTTGCAGTTGTTTGGAGAGCTGCTTGAGCATCACCTGCATCATTTGCAGCGCTGCCCCCGTGAAGTATCGGCTGTGATTGGAGTTGTTTGGGGTTTTCTTGAGCATCACCTGCATCATTTGCAGCGCTGCCCTCGTGAACTATGTGCAGGTAACCAACGTGCTGGCTGTGATTGGAGTTGTTTGGGGTTTTCTTGAGCATCACCTGCATGATTTGGCGGCGCTGCTGCCGTGAACTATCTGCAGGTCACCAACCTGCAGGGCTGTGCTTGGAGTTGTTTATGAGCATCATCTGCATCATTTGCATTTGCGGCGCTGCCCCCGTGAACTATCTGCAGGTCACCAACCTGCAGGGCTGTGCTTGGAGTTGTTTGGGGGTTGCTTGAGCATCACCCGCATCATTTGCGGCAGGTCACCAAGTTGTTTGCTCACATTAATCCAGCGGAAAGAGGCCGCCATTGTGTCTCCAAGGTTGAACAATGTTTTGGCCAAGTTCTTCACTCACCTGGGCAGCGCTTCCTGCCCCTCGATTCTGACCATCCCACTCGAATATCAGTCTGAAAGAAAACTCACATCAGTCAGATCCTGCACGCCATCATGCAATGTCACCAAAAATGTTTGCCGATCCAAGTCATTGGGAAATCTCCGATCGGCGTGCCCCAGCAATCGACCGACGGAAAAAAAAGCAGTTCCTGTTGGAGTGCTCCCAAGTCTTTCAGGGCAGCATCGAAGTCTATGTCCTGCGGCCGCATGCACGCTTGGTTCAATTATGCTTCGGCCAGGAAAGTTGTGTTGGCTGTTCCTTGTTGGACAAGCAAAGCGCTGTATTGCATTGCAACAGATTGCTAAGAATGACAGTTGCTCTTCAGCATGAGTTGCATTTATGGGGGTGTGTTTCAAGGTTGCTCGGATTTTCCATCACCATGGTGACACAATGTGCAGAATGTCCTCCAACATGAATCATGCTGTGCTAGATGTCGCGTAAAGCCAACATAATGTCGTACCGTGACTGGCAACAGCTGTGCAGGCATCCGCCTTATTTTGTCCATGCCCGTTGATCGGGGTTGCCCTGTGGATTGCCCGCCCTCAGAACCATCAAATGCCCTCGTGGCTTGAGAGTCAGGAACTAGCCCTTGGGCGAGACACACAGACAGCGCTGATAGGCTCACAACTTTACAACCCCATCCAATGCGCAAGTGCGCAAACCTCATCTCAAGCCTCACCCCGGGCCTTGCGCGCCTCTTCCGGGGCTGGCCTCGAAAGAAAAACTATCAGAATAAGACATCTGGCGGCCAGCGGTGAGCTTGGGTGCTGGCGATCCTCGGGCCTCTCTGGCAGCCTTGCCAAAGGCTTCCAGTTCCGGCCAAGTAGTCCCCAATCGATCGAACGCGTATTGATTAATTAAAACTCAACACCATGGTCTACCAAACAGCCTCAATCTTTGGACAAATCTTTGGAAAAACAATCGGTTCACCGCGTCACATCGAACACCCTGCCTGGATACGGGCCCATTCCTCCTCTGCCGCTTTCTTCTGGACAGCCGCCTGCTCCGCAGCCTCCCGCGCCGCCACCATTTCTGGTGCCTGGCATGCGTCACACTTGCGCGCTGACATGTGGAAGTATCCGCAACTGGAATCACAAAGATCCGTGATCATACGCACGCAGAAAGCAATTGTGGAACTTTAATTCTTAGGGACCTTTTGGATTTATGTCCAGCCGCCATTTTCGAGGCTGGGCCGCTTTTTGATTCATATTTGCGTCTGACATCAGAACCTTGTTGAACAACTCGTCTCATAAATTCCGTAGGCATTTCATCTGCTCAAATGACTTGCTCTGCTCCCTGCCCCATCATAATGGCAGCTGCCAGGCTTTCAGACTGGGCGCTTTGCTGGCGCTCATGTCTGCAGGGGACCCAGCATCAGGACTTGATGGGTGCACCGATTCAAATGTAGCGGAGACGCAGAGCGAATGCTCAAGAGATTGCAATACAGTTAGCCCTGCCCGGCCTCAGCAACAACCAGCTAGCGTGAAAGGCCCAAAGCGTAGAACACACGTTCAGCAAAGACGCAGTTCTTGCTTGTGCAACAAAACAACTCAAAGACCCCGCGCGAAGCAGAACTGAACCTGGCGCTTGGGGCGAGAGAAGGAAGGGATCATGCTTGGTGTATCGGCCTCTCTGTCTGTTTGTCTTCGTGCTTTGTGCCTTCTGCTGTTTCGCATGTTGCAGGTTTTGCTGCGCGAAGGGCACGCCTCGGGCAGCTCCATGGTGTGCCTCTCGGGCAAGCGAGCCTCGGGCTCAGCCGCCTGGCACCAGACGCGAAGGCCCCCGGAAGGAGCTCGAAACTGAAATGAATCCAACAGCCGGAGCTCGACAAATGCGGACACGGTTGCATTCCTTCAGGACCCGAGCGCGTGTGAAAGCCATGGATCCAGCGTTAGAATCGAAGCACATGGAGCAGATGAAGAACCCATTCGAGAAACTCAAAGAACAAGCAGAGCAAATGATGCAAGAAGGTTTCATGGAGCAAATGTCGCAAGCTTTTGCCAACCTCGGAAATGTGCACATGGCCCTGAAGCCATGCCTCAGATATCTCGCCTCAGCGTCCCCAGGAACTGGGCCAGCTGGAGCTGCGGCTTCTGCCGTCTCTGGGGCTGCCGTCTCTCGGCAGTCTGGCGCCTGCAAGGGCTATTGAATCGACTCGCCGATGTCCCTTACGTCTTTACGTTCTCAACGCATCTCCGAGTCCCCGGCAAGTGGAGGTGCTGGCCAGGCCGCAGCGGCGAGGCACTGCAGGAAGAAGTTGGTGCGCTCCGCGTGCACGCCGCACACCACGTCTGTCGCCGACACCTCGCGACACCCATGCTATCCATGCTATCTGGCACACGAACAATCAGCCCAGGCCTCTGCCAAAGCCTCTGCGTGCGATGGAAGTGCAGCGGCGGTTGCTGCAATCCACCCTGCAGCGACAGGACTCTTCCTTTCCCTTGGTCTGTCTCGCTGTCTCTGTCTTTGTCTCTGTCTCTGCCTCTGTCTGTCTCTGCCTCTGCCTCTGCCTCTGCCTCTGTCTCTGTCTCTGTCTCTGTCTCTGCCCCTTCTCTGTCTCTGTCTCTGTCGTCTGTCTGCCTCTCTCTACATGTCCAACAAATCCTTGTTTTGTGAGTGCAGCGTGGTGTTTTTACGCGGGTGCTCAATGTCGCAGCTCTTGCAGTGACACTCTTTTCCCATGAAAGGCTTACGGCTCAAGGCCTTGTACAACGAACACAACATGCATGATGCAGCGCGCTTGCTGCAGTTGTATTTTGACATCGCTGCCTCCTTCCTTCCTGCCACCTGGACTCTGGACCATGCCTCATCCCTCATAGATTGATAAATTCATCTTTGACCCTGTGCTGTCGGCACGGAGACTGGAGAACAGGGTCCCCGACGCTGCAGAAAGTCCACCTGGCTTTGGCCATCTCCGTAGAATTCACTTCTTTTTGCATCCCAAAGGCAATGTCCCAGCGGCTTTGTTGGGGTTGATCCCATGTTGCATTGCTGTCTTCGCCTTTCCCTGGTTGCCCCCGGGCTCCGACCCTCTGCCCGTCTGCCCGTCTGCCCGCCTTTTCCTCCCTGGCGCTGGGCGCACAGGGCTTCTCCGGCAGCTCGCCAAAGAGCTCGGCTAAGCCGAAGCCTGTCTGGCGAGCCACCTGGCCGAGCCGAGCCGTTGCCAAGTGCCTTCAAGCGAGCTTCGAGTTGAGCGCGAAATGCCTCATTGCCTGAAACAGCTCCAGGCCCGGCTTCCTGCCTCCACTGCAATGTCAAAGAGAAAGCGAAAGGGCGGCTTCCTAGCATTGCAAGCGTTGAGCGCAGCAGCGCAGCTTGGCCGGTGGTTCTCCATGCCGTGCCGGAGTGGCTGGGAATGATCTAGCAAGGTAGCAAGGTAGCAAAGGAACCCGAGAGATGCCAGCAGCCGGAAATCCAATACAATCCAATGCATTCTTCGCCGGCTGGCAACAAGCTTTGCCGGTTGACAACTACGAAACCAGGTGCAAGGTGCTTCTTAGCGAAGCGTGGACCCGCGCACTGCGCGTGCCCCCGCCTGAGCCGCTCAGGCAGGAGCCGCGGTCTGGTGATTGCACCGAGGCTCACCTGCTGGCACATGCACATGCGGCCTAGAGTTTTAGAAGCCACATCCAAATAAAAGTGCCTGCTATATCCTGATATCATTCCAACAGGGGCACGGGTGTGTTGCGTCTGCAGACTTTGGGAGAATGCTCTCTCGCGGTCTTGGACTCCGCATGCCTGCGTCTGAGCGATCCATGCTTCGACCTCAAGGCAACGAGCTGCAATGTGTTGATGAGAGGTCTTGCCATTTCACAAGAGCTGCAAGTTCCTAAGAGCTGCGCAGCCTCTCCACTCTCATACGCTTCGCCCATGCTCGTCCGCAAAAAAAAGTGCCTCTGAGTGTTTCGTTCAAATGACTGGGCTTGCAATGTCTGCTCGCGTCACAACGAGCTGTGACTAGTTCCTTGATTCAGTACTGCTTCTTGCCCCCTCTGCCTGCAGCTTTCTGGCTTCGTTCCTTCATGACCCTGGAAGACATCGGCTTATAGACTTGAGCCTGCGAAGAAGCTCAAGCTGGAGCCTTTGCCTTGGTTTTTGTGACGGGAGGGGTGCCCGGCTTGGTTTAAAACTCCGAAAGCGCCAAACGAGGCACGACCTTTTCCCCAAGGCTCTGGCTTTGCCGAGGTTTCGGGCTGGACAGCCCCCTTGAGACTAGCATGCCAAACCGCGCGGTCTCGACAAACGTCCGCTTCGCTGAGCGCGCAGTCCGAATTTCGCCCAGGAATTCGGAAGTAAGTTCCAAGGCAAGTACTTGGTGCACGTAAGTACATGTAAGCGCATGTAAGCACATGTCGACTAGTCATTCTTTAACGAGTCTATCGCAGTGCACAGGAATCACCGAGTCCGAGGAGTCAGAGATGGGCTTGCGGCCTGGCTGAGTCCCATCCGAGATCCCTCCGAAATTCGCCTCCATGCCCCTTGCCTTCCGGCGCGCGCTCTGAGGC